GGCCCGAGAGGCCACGTAAGCAAGACGAAGCTGGCCAAGCTGCTGCAACTCTTGAGCAAGAGAGTAGCGAACTTCAATGTGCTTCGTTCTGTGCTCCAGTCTGTGCTCCTGACATAAGGCCAGCATGGCCTTGTTGTCTACGTACAGAACTGGAGGAGAACGAGGCGCCTCTCCCAAGTCGGTCAGCAGGTAGGTGAGCCAGCGTAACTCCTATGCAGCCATGGCCCCTGCGTAGATCTCAGCCTCACAGCAGGAGCTGAGAGCAGAAGACGAGCGGGTAGACCGCCACGAAACAGAACCAAAGCCAAGGCTGAAGGTGTAACCCTATAAGGACCGCTGAGTAGCCAAGTCGTCAACCCAAGTCTGCATGACCAGTGAGGACAATTCGAGCCCGTCCTCCAAGCACTAGCCGTATGCCCGACGAAGTGCACAAGTAGCGCAACACCCTCTTCGCCGCAGCCATGTGCTCTGGTCGGTGTCTCCCAGGAGCAACATAGCGTGCCAAGATGCTAAGAGGGTATGCCAAGTCAGGTCGAGTGCAGGTCATCAGGTACATGAGGCAGCCAACAAGCTCGGGGTATGGGCCACTCGGCTCTACGAAGTCATCTGAAGGCAGAGCTAAGAGCGAGTGGCTAGTAGACAGAGGAGTGGACTGAGGCGAGGAGTACGTGAAGTTGAAGCGCTGAAGGACCTGCTGTGAAGAAATGAGGAATGAATGAACTAGCAAGCAGGTGGGTACAAGTAGGAAAAACCTAAAAGTGTTGTACCCTATATTGTCTACCCCACTACAGCCTACACAGACTATAGCATATGAGTTTGACACACCCCCATAGGCAAAGTGGGGGAGAACAAGAGGTCACAAGACGAGTCAAGCAAAGCAAAGCAAGCTCAGGGTGGATCACAAAGTCACCACACATTCCGAGCACAAGTTCAAGGCCACAAGGCCAGTTCACATGCAGGATTACATATATATAGGTAAACAAGCAAGTGCAGGTATAGAAAGATCACAGTACAAGCAAGGTCAAGGTCAGCAAGAGAAGGAAGAGAGGACTCTGGAGGAGACGGCAACGGGACACGCAGAGGAGCAGTGGAAGGACGAAGTGCCATCTGGTGTGTGCCTGGGACCGCAGGAGGACGCGTACACGGAGCACGACTACTAGTGCGAGTAGCACGAACAGGCGACGCAGGACAAGACGCAGGCTCACGATGCTCAGCAAGACCTCTAGTAGGACCAGTGTAGGGAGAAGGAGCAGGCAGGGGGGAGGCGGGCTGTAACTGTGACTGCGACTGGACAGGCTGTGGACACTCTAAGGGAGGAGCAGGACCAGTAGAAGGCGGGAGACCAAGAATTTGCTCAAGGAGTGGAACGAAGTACGGCCGCGGCCGCGCACCGCCTCCAGAATGAGCAGGGACAGGACCAGCACCAGTAGCACCTCCAGCTCCAACAGAGCCAACTCCAGCACCCTCAGAAGCACCAGCGCCAGCAGCACCTCCAGCTCCAACACCCCCAGCAGCTCTAGCTCTAGCAGCTCCAGCAGCTCCAGCTCCAGCAGCACCAACTCCAGCAGGACCGCCAACTCCAGTACCGCCAGTAGCTCCAGCACCAGGAGCACCTCCAGGCCCAGTAGCTCTAGTACCTCTAGTACCTCCAGCAGCACCAGCAGCACCCCCAGTCCCAGCAGCTCCAGTACCGCCAGTACGAGCACCTCCAGGTCCAGTGGCTCCAGTAACAACAGTGCCGACCCCAGGGTCAGCAACAACAGTAGCACCTCCAGCTCCAGCAGCACGGTTCCAGCGTCGGGCAAACCACTCGCACAGCTCCTGTGGAGAGGGTAGCTCCCGCCTCGATGAAGCACCCGAAGGGGCCCCAAACCCAGCACCGCCAGAGGCCACACGAGCAAACCCAGCACCCCCAGGCTCCGCACCCCCAGGCTCAGCACCACCAGGCTCCGTACCCCCAGGCTCCGCACCCCCAGGCTCAGCACCCCCACGCTCTGTACCCCCAGGCTCCGCACCCCCAGGCCCAGCACCCCCAGACTCAGCATCCCCAGGCTCAGCACCCCCAGGCTCAGCACCCCCAGACTCAGCACCCCAAGGCTCAGCACCCCTAGCAGTACCAGAGTCAACAGCTACCTCGACAGGCTTGACTGCGTCTACCCAGGACACACCTGACGGGGCAGGACCCTGAGGGGGGAGGGGGTCTACCGGGGGGGGACCTGGCGCAAGGAAGAGCGGCGGCGGGGGGAGGGGTGCAGTGCGGTAGGGGAAGAGACGGTAGTAAGGAACCGACTCGTTAAACGTGACGTCCTGGGAGGACAGAACACGGCACGAGGTGGGGTGGTAAAACTGCCAACCAGGCACGTCAGGGGGGAAGCCAAGGAAGACGCAGGGAACCGCACGGGGGGACAGCTTGTCCGTAGACAAGTCGCGGACAAACGCCCGAGATCCCCAGACACGAAACGCAGACGCATCGCCAACCTTCCCCGTCCACCTCAAGGTGGGGGAGGTCTCTGGCAAAGAGACCCGGGGCTGAAGGTTGATCTGATGCGCTGCGTACTGAACCGCAAACGGCCACAGAAAATGGGGAGCAGCTGCATGGATCATGGACGTACGAGCGACGTCCATGACCATGCCAATGCAGCGCTCAGCAATCCCATTTTGCTGTGTAGAGGCCAGAAGCGTGAAGGTCTGGCGGATGCCCTGTGCACGACAGAAGGCTCCCAGAAGGCCAGAGGAAAACTCCCCGCCTCTGTCAGAGTGCAGACGCAGAACAGGAAAGTCCGAGCCGAAACTCTCTCTGAGCTGGAGACGAGCTGCACGGATCCAGTCGATCAACATCTCAGTGACGTCACCTTTGCTGCGCAAGGGGAATACCGTGGTGTAACGCGAGTAGTCGTCAACCACCAACAGGAAGTAACGCTCGTGACCCTAGCCACGGACGTGGGCTGGGCCCCACACGTCCATGTGAAGAGTCTGCAGTGGAGCCTCTGTCGGAGGAAACTCGGAGGAGTGAGGGGCGGCGAGCTGCCGCCGCTCGACGTAGGGAACGCATGTAGGGGCAGGCCCCAGAGGGAGGGGAGGGAGGGATCGGGGGAGACCAGAGACAAGGACACGGGAGGCCATGCCTCGGAGACGAGGCAGGGAGGGGTGACCAAGGCGGTGGTGCCAGAGGAGAGTCTGGTGGGACAGGAGACGACACGAGCAGGGAGCAGACTCAGGACCAGACCTGGATGCTGCAGCAAACACCTGACTTGACGCAGCTACTTGACCAGACTCAGCAACCGGAGGAGACTCAGTAGTCAGTGTGTATAGGTTTGACCCCGGCTGACGGGTAAACGTGGCCAAGTGTCGGCCCGTCCGAGCACACGTACGGTGGGTCACCCGCTGACTCGCAGGAGTGAACTGGTCAACCCCCCCATCCTGTAGATCAGCACCACTTACCAAGTTCGTAGAGAACGAGGGGAGGTAGAGACCTGACAGGGTGCCAGAGGAGGCTGTCGGACATGGTAAGACAGTGGAGAAGTGGGCAAGGACAGGACTCCTAGAGGGGTCCGCCAGGGAGGCTGCAACTGGCCGACTAAGCGGCGTAAGCGTGGTGCGGTCTCGAAAGAAGGAGCGGGAATCACCTGAGTCAAGGGTGAAGGTGTGTAAGGCCTAAGCCGACGTGGTACCTGAGAGAGCAGACTCACCATCACCTGGGGCAGCAGACGCACTAGCACCAAGAGCAGCAGCCTTACCAGCACCTAGAGCAGCAGCCTCAATGCCCGGGTCAGGAGGAACACACAGGTAACAGTCATCCTCATCACTAGTAGACACAACATACATGGCAGCAAGAATGGCATCATAATCGTGATCAAAGACAGCAACCCCCGACCTAAGCAGCTCGCCCTAGCGGGGGATCTTAGTGGCGTTAGGGAACTGGAGACGCCAAGCGTCCGTCAGACGGCCGAAGCAGCGCTTGGTGGTGTGCTGGCCACCGCACGGCTCACCAGTGCGGTCGCCGGTACGCAGGACGTAGGCACAAGGACCAGCACCCCCACCCTGCTGACGCGCAGAGTACCACTCACGAAGCTGCTGGGGGGGCGGGGTCTCACGAGAGCGCTGCTGCTGCTGGCGCTAACCACCACCGAAGCCGCCCCGCTGCGCAGAGCCACCCCGACTAGCTCCACCTCCTCCGCCGCCACCTCCGCCACCGCCGCCACCGCCTCCTCCTCCGCTCGCACCGCCACCGCCGCCGCCGCCTCCGCCTCCACCGCCGCCACCGAAGCCCCCACCCCCGCCACCACTCCCACCACCACCCCCACTCCCTCCGCCTCCTCCACCGCCACCTCCACCGCCCCCGCCAGCCCCTCCAGCGCCCTTGCCCCCCTTGCCCTTGCCAGTGCTTCGTCGCCCGCTAGGGGAAGACTCAGCGCCGACCGACTCGGTGCCAACGAAGTCGACGGTAGCAGCAGAGGCAACAGAGGGCAAAAGGGGGGAGGGGGAGCACCCCTCAAAGACGGGGGCACGAGGGTCACCACGAGAGTCTCCTATAGAGACTATACTCTTCTCAGCTGCCAGGAGGCGCTCCTCGAGGAGGTCAACGGGGAGTGTGGTGGGGCAAACAGAGAGGAAGTGGTCCCTGACCGAGCGAAGGGAGTAAGGAAGACGGGTGACTATGTAGTAGAGGGTGATGTACATAGGGGGGGGGTTCAGCAGGAAGCGCAGCGCGGTAGCGGGTGTCACTAGTGCGAAGGTGCGTAACGAGGTCAGCGACAGTGGGAAAGGCGGCGAGGTCAGGAAACAGGGCACTACGCAGAGCAAGACGGGCAGCAGCATCGCGTGTGGCCCACCGTGAGCGAACAGTGCTGTCAGCATCAGCAGCAGGGGCAGTAGAGGCGCCAGACGTGAGATCGAACAGGGAGAGACCGTCCTTCATATCGCATTGTAGGAAAAGTTGTAGATCATCGACCCAGACCTCAAAGCCAACAGCCCGACCCTCAGCATCGAAGACTAGAACACTAGGGGTAGCCATGACAGCAGTGGCAGCAGGCTAGGGGCAGCAGTAGCAGGCGTGGCTTGGCAGTGCTCTCACCAGGGCTGGTAGGTAGGGGCCGGCAAGCGGTGGGGCAGGGCCGAGGCGCGTCGGCAGGGACAGAGCTGCGACCGCGGTGGCAGCTCCTGCTGTCAGTAGCGGCGGCAGTCACTGCTGTCGGCGATGATGGCTGCTGCTGGTGGTGGTCGCCGCTGTCATCGGCGGCGTCTGCTGTTGTCGGCTGCTGCTGGCGGCGGCGGCCGCTGCTGCTGGCGGCGGCTACTGCTGGTGGCGGAGGAGCCGCGGAGGGGCCGGGAAGGGTGGCGACGGGGCCACGAAGGGCGGCGATGGGGCCGAGAAGAGGCCGCGAGGGGCCGTGAAGGGCGGCAACGGGGCTGCTAGGGGCGGCGACGGGGCCGCGAAGGGCGGCGACGGGGCCGCTAGAGGCGGCGACGGGGCCGCGAAGGGCGGCGACGGGGCCGCGAAGGGCGGCGACGGGGCCGATAGGGGCGGCGACTGGGCCGCGAAGGGCGGCGACGGGGCCGCTAGGGTCGGCGACGGGGCCACGAAGGGGCCGCGAGGGGCCTTGAAGGGCGGCGACGGGGCCGCGAAGGACGGCGACGGGGCTGTAACGGGCGGCGACGGGGTCGTGAAGGGCGGCGTCGGGGCCGCTAGGGGCGGCGATGGGGCCGAGAAGGGTGGCGACGGGGCCGCTAAGGGTGGCAACCGGGCCGCTAAGGGCGGCGACGGGGCCGCTAGGGGTGGCGCCAAGTGCCGTGAGAGGGGCCTCTAGGAGGGCACGACAGGTCGCTAAGGGCAGGGGACGCGACGAGAGGGCGGCCCACGGGGCGCGCCTCGGGCAGGTGCGACTCGCGCTCTGGTCAGAAAAAAAAAAAATCGATTTTCAGTGGTGGGCGCTAGGAAGCGTTCCCACTAGGGAACGTGCTCTATACCATGTGAAGAAATGAGGAATGAATGAACTAGCAAGCAGGTGGGTACAAGTAGGAAAAACCTAAAAGTGTTGTACCCCATATTGTCTACCCCACTACAGCCTACATAGACTATAGCATATGAGTTTGACACCTGCTGCACCATGTGTGACTGAATCAAGGTAATGGTGCTCCATGCTCTGTCCCGGGTGATCTGTGCATTGTGCGCCGTGCAAGCCAAGATAGCTGCGCAGTTCGCCAAGGTTTGTGCACGTGTGTCTCTTCTGCAGCTCCGACTTCACGTGGGCGAGTCCCTTAGTGTCAGTAGTAGCAAAGACCAAGTCGTCGACGTACACGAGGATGTAGAACGGCGGCAGCAAAGTGTCAGTGCGCAAAAATAGCGACGTGTCAGCAGTAGAAGGAGCAAACCCAAGAGCCGCAAGCGTAGTTCTCAGTGTGTCGTGCCACTCGCGGAGCGCCTGGCGGAGACCGTAGACTGGCCGCCGGAGGCTCCACTGGGTACCCTCAGGAAACGACACAGTGAAGCCCTGTGGACGGCGCAACCAGATGGCCTCGTGAAGGCTACCCTGCAAGAAAGCTGTCAAGAAGTCGAGGAAGTGCAACTCGTAGTCACGCTGAGCAGCGACGTGCAGCAGAACCCGAAGAGTGGTCATTTTCGGTGTCGGGTAGAAGGTCTGGAAGAAGTCAACTCCCTGTCGCTGACTAAAGCCTCGAGCAACGTAACGCGCCTTGAAGACAGGCGGAGAACCCGACGGCCGCTTCTCCCTGAAAATCCACATGCCACTGACGATGTTCGCCCGAGGAGGGGAAACCTCGTCAACGTAGGTGCCTGTGGACTTCCAGGATGTCATCTCTGCGTCCATGGCTGACTGCCACTGAGAGGAGTAGGGACCCTCTATCGCCTCTGCGTAAGAGCGCGGGGTCGGGATGTCTGGTGCATCCGGGTCTCACTCAGGTGCAATCAGCATGGACACGAGATGAGGTACAGCAGCTGCAAAGCACTGAAAGTCCTCGTGCCTGTCCTCAAGGACGTCCGTGCTAAGAGCACACTCACCCCCGACGAACGGAGGACAGACAGACTTCGACTCAGCAACAAGACTAGCGGCGTAGTCTAGACGACAGTGAGCAGCAAAGTCGACAAGCTCAGCAACTAAGGCAGACGCAGTAGTGGACTCAAAGGAAGGGTCTGTGACAACAGTGGCCAAGAGACGCGTGACGGTAGGACTAGCAGCATGAAGGGAGTTAGACTCCGGGGCAGAAAGGGCAGGAAGAGAGGACGTAGGAGGAGACGGCAGAGGGACACGCTGTGGAGCAGTGGAAGGACGAAGCGCCATCTGGTGCGTGCCTTGGAGAGAAGGAGGACGCTGACGCGGAACACGACGACCAGTGCGAGCAGCACGAACAGGCGACGCAGGACGAGACTCAGGCTCACGACGCTCAGTAAGACCCCCGGTCGGACCAGTGTAAGGAGAAGGAGCATGCAGCGGGGACGCAGGCTGTAACAGTGACTGCGATTGGACAGGCGATGGACACTCCAAGGAAGGAGCAGGACCAGTAGAAGGCGAGAGACCAAGAACCTGCTGAAGGAGCAGAATGAAGTACGGATGCGGTCGCGCAGCGCCTCCAGAACCAGCAGAGATAGCACCAACACCCCCAGCGGCGGCTCCAACTCTTGCAGCACCTCAAGCAGCTCCAGCAGCGCCAACTCCAGTACCCCCAGGAGCACCCGCACCAGCAGCACCGTCAGCTCCAGCACCTCCAGTAGGACGAGCGTTAGCGCCTCCAGTGCTAGCCCCTGCAGCACCACTAGCTCCAGCACCTCCAGTAGCTCCAGCAGCACCTCCAGTCCCAGCAGCTCCAGTACCGCCAGTACGAGCACCTCCAGGACCAGTGGCTCCAGCACCTCCAGCGCCAACCCCAGGGTCGGCAACCACACCAGCACCAGTAGCTCCAGCGCCCTCAGCTCCAGCTCCAGTGGCACCCCCAACTCCCACAGCACCACGTCGGCGGCGACAGTGCTGAGAGTACCACTCACTCAGCTGCTAGGACAAGAGAGCGCCCCCAAGCGCAGTACCCCCAGGCTCAGGACCTCCAGGCTCAACACCCCCAGGCACAGCACCCCCAGGCTCCGCACCCCTATGCTCAGCACCCCCAGTCTCAGCACCCCCAGACTCAGCACCCCCAGTCTCAGCACCCCCAGTCTCAGCACCCCCAGTCTCAGCACCTCCAGACTCAGCACCCTCAGGCTCAGTACCTCGCGCAGGACCAGAGTTGACAGCTACCTTGACAGGCTTGACCGTGTCTACATGGGAAACACCTGAGGGAGCAGGACCCTAGGGAGGTAGGGGGTCTACCGAAGCAGCACCTGGCGTGAGGAAGAGCGGCGGAGGGGGGAGCGGGGCAGTGCGGTAGGGGAAGAGTCCGTAAAAGGGGACCGACTCGTTGAACGTGACGTCCTGAGAGGGCAAGACACGGCGCGAGGTGGGGTGGTAAAACTGCCAGCCAGGCGCCAACCTCTCCTGTCCAACGGAGTGTCGGCGAGGTCTCAAGAACGAAGACACGGGGCCAGATGTTGAGCTGCTGCGCGGCGTATCGGACCGCAAATGGCCACAGAAAATGGGGGGCAGCCGCATGGACCAAGGAGGTACGACCGACCTCCATGACCAAGCCAATGCAGCGCTCAGCAACCCCATTCTACTGAGGAGAGGCCGGAAGCGTGAACGTCTGCTCAATGCCCTCCCCTTGACAGAAAGCTCTCAAGAGGCCGGAAGAAAACTCACCACCACTGTCAGAGTGCAGTCGCAGGACGGGAAGGTCCGTGCAAAAGCGCCTCTCCAACTGGAGACAGGTAGCGCAGATCCAAGGGATCAAGACATCAGGGACCTCTCCCTTGGTGCGCAAGGGGAAGACCGTGCTGTAACGCGTGTAGTCGTCAACTACCAGCAAAAAATAGCGCTCTCCGCCCTGTCCACGGACGCGAGCTGGGCCCCACATGTCCATGTGAAGGGTGTGCAGAGGAGCCTCCGTCGAGGGGAACTAAGAGGAGTGGGGAGCGGCTTGTTGCCGCCCCTCGACACAGGGAAGGCAAGGAGGGGCAGGGTACGGTGGCAGGGGAGGCAGTGACCTGGGGAGACCAGAGACAAGGTACCGGGAGTGCATGCCACAAAGGCGCTGCATTGAAGGGTGACCAAGGCGGTGGTGCTCGAGGACCGTCCGTTGTGACAAGGTGCGACACGAGCAGGGGGCGGACAACTGACCTGACGTTGACGCAGACGTAGCTACCTGAGGGGACTCAGTGGTCAGTGTGTACAGGTCCGACCCCGGCTACCGAGTGAAGGTAGCCAGGTGACGACCCGTCTGAGCACACGTGTAGTGTGTCACACGCTCATAGGCAGGGGTGAACTGGTGAACACCCGCGTCCTAGAGTGCAGAACTCGCCACCAAGTTCGTAGAGAACGAGTGGAGGTAAAGACCCGACAGCGTGCCGGATGGGACAGCAGGACAAGGGAGAGCAGTGGTGGAGGTCGCAAGGACCGGACCCCCGGAGGGGTCAGCCAGGGAGACAGCAACAGGCCTAGGGAGCTGTGCTAGGGCAGTGCGGTCTCGAAAGAAACAACGGGAAGCACCTGATTCCAGTGTGAAGGTGTGCAGTGCCTTAGTAGACACACTGCCTGAAGGCGCAGACTCACGAGCACCTGAAGCAGCAGACTCACGAGCACCTGGAGGAGCAGCCTCACTAGGACCTGGGGCAGCAGACGCACTAGCACCTAGAGCGGCAGCCTCACTGGTCTCAATGCCCCGGTCAGGCCGGACACGCAGGTAACAGTCACCCTCAACACTAATAGTCAAAGCATACATAGCACCAAGGATAACATCAAAGTCAAGAGCAAAGATAGCAATGTTCTTTTTAAGCAGATCAGCCTAGCCGGGCAGCTCAGAGGCGTCAGGGAACTGTGCACGCCAGGCGTCGTCGAGACGGGAGAAGCAGCACTGTTGCGTGTGGGGCCTCCCACACGTCTTAAGTGTGGTCACCTGTGCGAATGACATACGGGCAGGTACCACCTCCCCCAGACCCCCCATGCTGAGATTACCACTCACGAAGCTGCTAGGGCGACGGGTTCACTCAGAAACGCTGCTGCTGGCGCTGGACACCACCCGAACCTCCACGCTGCGCTCGTCCACCCCGACCACCATCCCAGCCGCCGCCACCACGCCCACTGCCGCCACCACCACCGCCTTCAACCCGCCTCCTCCACCACCACTGCTGCCACCACCCACGCCGCTGCCACTGACCCCCCCAGCCGCGCCACCACCCCCACCACCGCCACCACCCCCACCGCACCCACCGCCTCCACCTCCACCTCCCCCGCTGTCACCGCCACTACCCTTGCCCCCCTTGCCCCGGCCGCCCTTGCGCCTCCCACTGGGAGCAGACGCAGCCCCGACTTCCTCAGCACCAAGGTAGTCGACAGCGGCAGCAGAGGCGACCGAGGGGAGAAGGAGGGGAGGGGAACACCCGTCAAAGAAGGGCGTGCGGGGGTCGCCATGAGAGGCACCTACAACGACTATGCTAGCCTCAGATGCAAGCAGGCGCTTCTCGAGCAGGTCAACGGTGAGCTCGGTCAGGTAGAGGGTGAGAAAGTGGTCCCTGACTGCGCGAAGAGAGTCAGGGAGACGGGTGACTAGGTGGTAGAGAACGAGGTACATCGGGGAAGGATTCTTGGCGAGAAACTCAGCAGGAAGGGCGGCTCGGTAGCGAGTGTCACTAGTGCGGAGGTGAGTAATGAGGTCAGCGACTGTGGGAAAGGCGGCCAGATCGGGGAAAAGATAGGGCAGCGAGAGACGGCCGATCGTAGCAGAGGCAGGCGAGGAGTAGCACGCGACTACTGCATCGTACAGTGCCTTAGCAATCTTGTGCTGGCCAAAATGCGCGCGCTCATCTAACGGCAGGTGAATGCGAATGGCTAGGCGAGCGTGAGCGTCACGAGTCTGCCACTAGGAGCGAGCTGTACTGTCAGCAGTCTCAGCAGATGCTAGAGCGGTTTCGGACGCGTGATCATACAGCAAGACATCGTCCTTAGC